CGCCGTGCCGCCCCTCCGTGGGGTTCGAGCTCCCGTCGGCCTCCCCGCGTGCTGCGAGCTCCCCTGCCAGCTACGTGTTTGAGGAAATGTCAGGGCGGACATGTCGAAAATGGGTCGGCTATCGTTGGGCGCACCGGTCGACTCAATTGAAAAAATAGACACGGACGAGCGGACGGCCGACACAAACAGAAAAAAGGACAAAATCGACGTGCACTCGGGTCGCCGGTTGGAGTTGCTTTAAAGGCCAATGAAACCCAGCAGTGACGCTAGTATCTTGGTGGTGGAGTTGCTCTAAAGGCCAATGAAACCCAGCAGTGACGCTAGTATCTTGGTGGTCTTAATTGGGTCATTGCATGGTGGCAAGGAGAAGTTAGCCGAGTAACAGTACTAGTACAACTCACGAGTCACAACCATGTAGGGCACTCTCCATCTGATGAGCCGACACAATGTACTACCCGAAGGAGTATAGTTTTTCGTCTAAAAGCAAGGCTAATGTCTTGGTGTGTTATTTTACCGAATCAATTTTCTAGTAGTACTATCATACGGATAATTCAAGTGTTAACATCATATACCACAGTTTTAAGTGTCAACATCATATCTCTATACTTCATAGTTCTTCATACGGCTTATCGGTGAACAACCTTGTTGCTACACCATTTACGATCTCATCACATTATTCAGTTGAACATGACTTCCAATCATAGCTAATTAGTTTCCATTTTTGGGAGGAATGTATGTGCACTGCTGGCACTTACACGCCCCCGCAACACACTCGCCATATCCGCCGACCCACACACGGTCGATGCATGCCTGATTGCAGGTATTGCTATCACATGGCTTTGGCGACGGGATAATGCTTGTCGTACAAGGGATTCCTTCAACGCCCGCTGACGCCTTCGTTGGCACATCTGCAAAATCTCACCATGAGGAAAAGGGAAGACCAGAACTTAGCCAAGATTTGTTTGGACGAGATCTTGAAGGAACGTAGTACATGAACAAATGGGTACCTGATGCTAGGACAAGGAAGGCGATCAACAAGAGCAACATCTGGCTAGTCCTCATCTTAGATAGTTGTTGTATTGAAGGAAAGACTTGTCTGCTTTGCTCTGCGAGTTCTGAAGGAAAACATCACGGACAGGCCATTTTATACTGGATTTATGGTATTAAAGTTCAAGATTGGTTATGGTTAAATGTCATGATTATTAGTCTCCAAATATTATTGCCCTGTACTAATTACTATCCAATATTACTACCCTGTGTATATCTTCTTTTTGTTTGGTTGTAATATTCGTTTCTTTCTTTGTTCTGACAGTACAATATAGATATGCCACGGTTCAGGGTGTCCACTGATTTCAACTAAGCCGTGGCAAACCTTGTATTATTGTTCCAGTCATCATTTATTTTCAGCTCTTGGGGAGAGAGATAAAAATTATGGGAAAGAAGATGGATATGACATGCGGACCCATGTAGTCAATGAGAGTAGAGAGTGATCCGGCCGGGATCATTATTTTCCTAGCGTGACAAACCAGTCAAGACCGGTTTAGGGTTGAGATAGACTAGGATCAAAGACTGCAGAGTGTCGATTTCAGGGCATTGAAGGTTCGGGTTTGATTTTGACGAGGGTTTAAAACAGACTTTACTCAATAAACAATTACAAAGGGTGTACGAAGGAAATGAAAAAGAAAACCTATGGAATAGGCATCGTCACAAAAATAAGACGATTGGACGCCTTCCTAGCAACTTGTCCCGCTAGACTACATTCCTTGGGACAGGCGCATGTTGCTTCGATGCATAAGTTGGATTCACTGGCACGGTAGTGCTAAAAAAGGACCCCCTGGCCTGACAGAGTTGCCATTTCATGAAATGTTTAATTGCAATTTTTTGTTCGGATTTGCTAATTATGTAGACGAGTTAGTGATGTCTCATCTAAATTGTTGTCCACGGGATCTAGGGTGTTGAGATTCGTGCAAAACAAATTGTTGTGCGTCACTATGCCACCCAAGTCACTGTTTGTCAGGCCCTTTTCTCGTTTTGGGTCGCATCGACGTCTGTCCCTGTGTCTACATTAGCCTCTATTTGTGTTATGTGGCCGTCATCATCATTCCTCTCTCACCAGAGCAGGGCTTAACTTATTGTCGTACACAATCATGATCTCGTCATGCTAAGGCCTCACATCACCACCACCAAAATAATAACCGTCACCAATGAAAAGAAGTATAGATCGAAAAGATCCAACATGTAGACAAGCAAACGAAGACTCGATCCAAACAGATCCACCGAAGAGCAGTCCCGCCCAAGTTTTGCGAGATCAGCCGAAGACACAATTCCACACGCCGTCCGACTGTGCTAGACGCATCACCAGAATGGGGGATGGGCGGAGAGAACCTTATTCCATAATCTTCAGGTAGTCATCATCGCCCCGTCTTCCTGAGTAGGACACAAACCATATACCGACATACAAAAACACCTAAAAGTCATCTCTGCTACACTTACGAGGGATCACGGGGTGATGAAGTTATGTGATGATGTGGCAGCCTTTAACTCGAGATAAATGGGGTGCGTGCCCACCCTAAAATTCAAGGGGAGGGGGGTTGACTAGTGGACAAGGAAGGTTTTATGTGATACATAAAATAATTTCGTAGGTCTAGCATTTGTGCCTAAAAACGGAGGAAGATCCCTTTCGTTGGCAAGGGTCAGAGTCCATCGCGCTTCTCAATTAAAGAAAGAACATTTTTTTCCTAAAACTAATATATGCACTCTATTTGAAATGGAGAAAGTATCGTAGAATCTGCAGTTTAGCCCCTGCCGGAATAATGTACCCACAAATAGCACACCACCAGTTTTCTTTCTTCCCATGGAAGAAAGAGGACCCTTTGGCTAGGGTTTCTCGTGCCTCCCGCCGGTGCTGCCATCGGTCTACCTCGTCTCCTGTGGTCTTAGGGCATGGAGGTGTGGTGGATCTCGGCCCTTGCCAGCGGGAGGACTCCTTTTTTATGCTCTTTTGAGTTTTGTTAGGGTTTGTTACCTGTTTAGAGAGGCGAGGCGGCGATGGCTCTCTGGAGATGGAATAAGGTTCTCCCCATCTTGTCCCCGTCTCGGTGGTGTTTCTAGCATTATATTATCGAAGAGCGTGTGGAGGTTTGTCTTCTCTCACGGGATTCGTTCGGTGTTTATCTTCGATGGACCCACATGGATCATGTCTTCGTTCGCCTGCGTTTGTGTGTCTACATGCTGATCCTTCCAATCTACTCTTCTTTTCATCGGCGGCGGTTGCTGTTCTGGTGCGGTGGTCCTATGGGGTGTTAGCACGATAAATTTTTGATTGTCTTCTACAATAAGGTTTGCCCGACTCTAATGAGGAAGGGGCGAAGAAGGTGGCGCGCCTTCGGCTCGCTTCAATGCTAGTAGTCGTCGCTAGGTGGTCTACAGACCTATATGTATTTTTTACTTCTGGTATTCTTTATACTAGCTACCTTGACAGTTGATGAATAGATTGAAAGTTCATGCAAAAAAGAAAAGATATCCTTACAAAAAAAGAAAAAAAATAGTACACCACCATAAACCAAATGTCACATGGACATCACTAGTTCACAACATATGTACAACAAAGTAGTAGGTACCGAGTGGCATATGTACAAGACGCAGCATTCTCATCCTCATTTTTTTTACGGGACGCAGCATCCTCACGTTAGCCGCTGGACGAAACGTGTTCCATACAAAGGCGCTTTGCACCAGAAGACATTGCACAGAACGTTTCCTACACTAGTAGACATCAATATACATTGCCCCGTTCCAAACACTGGCTAGTACACGGTTGGAAGAGCGTCTCCTTTGGTTTGGAGAAATTTTATAGGATTTCTTTTTTTTAACACAATTAGGAATTCTATAGTACATGTATCTTACATGAATTTTTTCTTTAGAGCCTTTTGATTCATAGAAATACATTTCTATCTCTACATAGGATTGATTCTTATCCTTCACATTTCAAAGAAAAATAACATAGTCTAGACTCAATGAAAAAATTCATATATTGTGAATCAAATGATATCTCTTTTTCTTTTTCTACACACATAGAATTTGGGATACATGTCATCGCATTTTCTACTAGCTTTTTATATTCCTATAAATATTCTTATCCGATCCTATGAACCAAAGGCAGGCTTATTGGAAGATTAATCGATGTATAGTTTTCAAAATAGTTCTCTTTCTTCCGGAAGGGACACTTTTTGCGGTACTCAAAGCCAAAGATGGCGACGGCTGTTGCAGGTGTGTTGGATTGATGTTCATGCCCTCTCAGCGTTGGTGTCAAGAAAGGAGGAAGCAGCGTGCCGGCAATTGTATCGTGGTCGAAGATGATGACCTGCTTGCGACTGGTTGCAGATTCTTCTGCTGCAGGGGTCTTCTCTCAAGATTTAGGGATGATGACACGGGGCTTCGGAGATCTTCTTGTGTTATGGTTGTCTTAGGGTACTCTCGGTGTTCATGGTTCCTTGTGTTTGCGTTTCAGTGTGCTTGTGCGGGTCAACGTCTTTGTACTGATTCGTGATATGAAAGAAAAAATTCTAAAAAAAAAAGTTAGGCAAATCAGATTGTCACGTTGTGTTCCTAGTGTTCTGCATGTCTGTATGTTGCTCAAACATTCGAGATTGTTGGATGGTTCTGACAGTAGGTGTAGCATTTTTTGCGTGCATGACTGCATCTTTTCCACTGATACTCGTCGTCGTAGGGAGGCCACTCGACGGCCGCCACGGGAAGATCGCCATGGCCGGCCATGGAACAAGAATCTAGCTAGGGTTTGATGATTTAAGATCGATCGAGTCGACGCCTGCCTAGCAGCCGCCACACGATCGACGGGCGTCAACGATGTCCGTCTGATCGCAGATCGATCGGGTCGGAATCCTCCCCGAATACGCATGACACGGGAATCGGGAGTCCCCCAGTCAATATAAGCAGGAAGACACAAACCGTGACGATCAATACCCTGTTTTAGCTCTACGGATCGATTGATCGATCGATCGAGCGTGGCCATGGATCAGCAGCGGTCGAGGCAGCAGTACTGGTCCTTGTGGGTCGAGGGCGACAAGGAGCAGACGGTGGCGCCGGGGTCCAACGAGCGCCTCTGCGTCACCGGCGCCTTCCTCGTCGGCGGCCAGGGCGCAGCGGACGTCTGCGCCGTCATCAACAGTTCGTGTGTGGCGGACTGCGTCCCGCTCGCGTCGCTGTCGGCGGCGAACCCGTGCGTGGAGACATCGGTGGTGGTGTACCAGGGGGAGGAGTGCTCCTTGTTCGTGATGCCGCAGGGCGGCCCGGCCGTCGTCCGGTTTGACGGATACATTGACGCTCTGCCGCCGCCGGCGGAGAAAGTGGGAGAGGCGGCGACTCCCGTAGACAACGAAGGGGACTGGTACGTGCGGCTCGAGAGCGGCAACAAAGAGAAGTTTACCCCGAGGGCCGACGCGCCCATCTGCGTCACCACCATCTTCCTCCCGGACCCGGCTGACGCCGACAGAGGCGCCGTGGACGCCTACGTCGTGATGGGCAGCGGGCAGTCCCTCCTACTCGCGTCGCTGTCGGAGAAGACGCCCCGCGTGGAGCTCCGGCCCCCGGTAGTGCTGGACCAGAAGTTCTCCTTTTCCGCGACCGGCCCCAGGCCCCCGGGCATTGTCCAGTTCGAGGGTTACGTTCTTGCTCCGCCGGCTCCGCTGGAGGAGGAAGAGAACCACGACGAAAAGGCAGGGAGTTCCGAGCTCGACCATGAAAGCAGGGACGACGGCGAGGTCGAAGGGCTAGCGGCAGTCAGCGGGAGCGACGAGGAGGAGAAGGAAGAAGAGGCGTCGAGTTCCGAGGATGACGAGGGGTATGAGGGCGAGGAGGAGGAAGAGGAGGCGTCGAGTTCAGAGGATGGCGAGGGGTATCAGGAGGAGGAGGAGGCGAGAGACGGCGATGTCGGCGGACACGCGGCTACAGAGAGCAGCGCCGGCGGCGGCAACACGCTGCTGCGCTGCCGGAGCAGGAATTTCGTCCCCGGGGCCCTGGGGCGGCCCCTTAGTGTGCTGGCGCCG